ATGAAGCAGCTGAATAGCGAAATGTTGTGTTGCTCTCTTAGCGACTAATTACTTTGGTAAAAGCTGATTAACGTTGAATCGTTGGATAATTTGTTAATTTGACAGGTGCAATAATCGTGATTGAAATATGTCGGTGGTTAATAATTCAGTGATCAGGGCACGGCACCTGTTCATCATTTCTTACACTAATTTACAATTTTCGGAAACAAATTGGAATTTGCATCGTAAATGAATGCAAAACAAAAGTGAATGGCGTTATTGCTCGAAATTCCTCTTGCAATTGCGATGAACTAATCACAAAACTTTCAAAGGATCTGACTGCTTCGTTAGAATTTTTCATAGGATAGTTTGAAAAGAATCAGAATACGATTCAATTAAAGTCATTCGCATACAGATTGCTCAATGATAATCCAATGCAATTTGTTCAAGACAAGTTTATGGGTCTCCATCCTCTCAGATAACGAGTAGTTTCGACTACAGATCTTATCACAATTCCTATCATAGGTGGACAGTGATTGTAGTCAGCAGGTGACTTAATGAAAATAAAATATTTCACTAACATTGACCAACAAATATGGTTTCAGGAAAGCCGGCCGCCTATAGATCACACCGTAGAACAACGCGACAATCGCAACTAGATCTGCGACTAACATACCAACTTCAACGAAGAAATTCAACGCTGTCCGACTGATTCCCAAACATATCAAAATACCGTTAACGGTGGATGAGAATAAGGACAGTAATGCTATTACAATTGCGCCATGCTGCAATAAGAATTTCATGAAGTCGGTTTGGAAAAGGATTTAGAAGATTTGACGACTAAAGGATGCTCGACTTATTGGAATTATAGTCTGCACAACGCTCAACTTCAATTTCAGGCAATAGCCCTTGATATGGATAGCATCTGCTATATCACTTCGAATTATCAAACGAATCTAAGTAAACCGCTATTAAACATGAGTGAAAAACATCATAGACTGACATCGATTTCAGTATTTTCTATTAGAAACTGCAATAATCCCTAAGAAAAGTTGTAATTGAATGAAAACTGGAAGGAATAGGGAATGAAAAGTGAAAAGTTTACTCGAATATGTATGGCACCACAACAACAGCTATTTGTAGGAGATCGTTCCTCATCGTATTCACTCAGTCGAACGAGTGTGTCCTTTGGTGGTTCCATTTCGACACACCTGAATTCAGCAATCTCTCAAAATGATTTATCTGACTGATTATTGAAACATTCATCTGAGTCACACTCATTTCGGCTGTCCTATCTATACATCTTCCCATCAAGTGAGATTGATGGCGACAAAACGTTTTGTATCGCATTCACTAAGTGCATTATGAATTCATGAACTGTTTGACATGCAAAGAATCACGCAAATACATATCGAAATAAATGAGAATTTCTTAAATAACATTCTGAAGAATTCAACAGCGATAAAAAAAATCGAATTGAGCTGATGATGAAGTTATGCTCAAACAAACATTTATATGAGTGGAGTACAATTTGATGATCGTGTTGAATAAAGTAGCTGCTGACATGAAAAATAGCTGACTGTGATCATTAATTATCGATCATTCAGCACAGCTTCAGCTTGAATTCTTGTACATGAACGGATTTGGACGTTCACATTCAAGCTTCTCAACAAGCTGGACTACATCAGAACAAGACAGTGGAAAATAAAAATTGCGCGAACTAGGCACCATCAATTGATCATGTCTTGAATGAAATCAGAGTCAATATCTTTGGACCTTTCAATGGTATCAGCAGTAAATTCCCAACTATATGATGAGTTGGCATCAAATTATCTCATGCTAGATTAGAAACGAGAACATTTGATTCTATTTAGTCAAGACGAACACAGTGCACAAAGGCATATACTATCTGAGCAAGTTGTTTCTCTGTTTAACAGCGCCTTTGTGCGTAATCAGCAAAAAAAAA